ATGTTCCTATTTCACATAGAATAACTGCAGGGTAATTGAGCAAGAATTGACCTTCTGAGATTTATTGTTAAGAAGCAATTTTTATGAAGTTCACTTCTTATCACTGTGCAATTGGCAGTTGTGACATACTAACAATGCCTTCAAGATTTGAACCATGTGGTTTGAACCAGTTGTATGCAATGAGATATGGCACCGTGCCTGTTGTTCACAGAACTGGAGGTCTTAGGGTGAGTGGAGACTTGAAATTGCAAATCTTCTAATAACACAATATTATGCATTACATGTGCTGTTTACGATCTTTTTCTTTCAGGACACAGTAGAGAACTACAATCCATATGCTCAAGAAGGAACAGGAGAGGGAACTGGGTATGGACTTTTAATCAATTTTTTTTTGGTAAACAAGAAGCCATCTCTATAGCTGAAACACTGTTGCTACTAAGACAGTATATGCATCTCCTTGGGATCTGGTGCCTCGATACAAGATATCCAAATTGATGATACTTGTTTGGTTGTAAAATCAGATAGCAAGATACTACAGTTACTGTGTTTGCTTGGTTAAGGTGAAGTTGCACTTTTATTAAAACAATTATAGAAGGATATTGGCCACAAGGTTCTTAATTTGACTAAAATAAACCTCTAGCCACTGCCTTCGGAGAATAAAAGACAACTGAGCAGTGATGTGCTTTTGAGGCCATAGAATGCAATTCGTAATCGTATATACTAGTTTTCTTGAATACTTTCATATTTTGAAGGACACAGAGAGGTGGATCCCCTTTTGCTTCTGCTTTTCCTTCTTTGGTCTGCAGTCAGATGCTATCTTTTTCTCCCTTGGTCTTGTATATGCTTTCAAAAGGTGCTGAATATGAAATGTCTAACAGGTGGACTTTTTCCCCTCTATCAAGAGAAAATCTGATTGCTGTAAGTTCTCTCAATGTATATATGCCCGTATTTTCATAATTCGTCTGTTACTTTTCACATGTAGGGTATGGTTATCCTTTCTTAGTCTACCTGATAGGGGCATTGAATGCTAACATAATTGGTGAATTATCTTCACAAGTTGGTATTTGATGATGTCTGCAGGCACTAAGAATAGCTGTTGGGACTTACAGAGACCACAAGTCATCTTGGGAGGGTTTGATGAAGAGAGGAATGGAGAGGGACTACTCTTGGAACAACGCAGCAGTTCAATATGAACAAGTCTTTGACTGGGCCTTGCTGGATCCTCCTTATGTCAAGTGAGTGAGTTAAGGAGAGAGGAAGGCAACCAGCATCTATAGGCAAAAGAAATTTCCTGAGTTTGGAATACACCCAAAATTTGTTACCACGAATTATTGCATTTTTGCTAGAGCGTTGTATAATTATTATACAGTCATGACCTCGGGAACAAATCATAGATTTCATTTTAACTTGCGCTGCATCAATTAACAAAATCAAGTCAGGTGAGTTGTCCCTCTGGGATTTTTCTATAAAGCATGCAATCGATGGTAAAATCATCGACCCACCAGGAGATACTTGAGTAGTCTCTGTAATTGTGCAGATAAAATGGCTAACTTCTTGTAGTATTGAACGAAGGTCCAAAGTTAACAGAAATGATGCCACAGCAGCACACCAACTCCGATAGGGTGACCATATTAATCCATACATTGGTGGTTCCTTTTGCATGACATGATGAGTAGCTGAATCAACTGTCATGTTTTTGCTAGAAGAAATTTTGAGAAAGCAACAGAAGCTTTGGTACCTCGTAGGATTTGGGTAGTAGATTTTTTTTTTTTTTTAAGACGATAATTATTGTATAATCTAATTTATTCTATACTAGAGAAAGGGAGCGGAGCTGAAGAGGACCAAGAGTTTTGGAGGGGACTGAACCATCATCGGATTAGACGGGTATACTACATACTCGTTCGAATTTGGGTAGTAGATGAGAAGAAGCAAAAGAGGCAATTTCCATGTCCAATTCCAGTTGGATCAGGGTAAGAGCCAGAGAGGCAGTCGGTTTGGAGTGGGTAGCGTGAACTTACGTGGGATGCTGTTTCCGTGTGCTTCATAGTCCCACATCGCCAGCAGTTAAAAGGAGAGCTACGTGAGGAGGTAGTATAAAAGCGAAGCGAGGCAGTCTTTTATAAGCATCTTTGCGCTTGGGGCAATGACGCAGCTCATGAGGTTCTAACCGAGGCGCGTCTATTGCTGGTTGAAAACTATTTCCAAACCCCCTCTTTGGCCTGGGTTCGGCCTAGGCCATCGAGAATTTCTGGAAGGGCTCCCTTCTGGGTAAAGCCCTACAATTCTTAGTTTAATGATTGTGAAATGATGATTGTATGATGAGGCTTTTATTCGTACGATCTAGCAATCAGTACGAAAATACAATAAAAGATGCATGGAGAAATAGGGTCAAATAAAACCTATTCCCTTATCATATAGTATTTGTTTCTGGGGAAATTTCATAAACCTTCCCTAAGGTTTGGTAATATTGGAAGTTCTTCTAACCAAAAAAAAGTAATATTAAAGAATTCATGTTTGAGGAGAGAGATTATTTTAGTGTCTTTAATATCCTAGGCTATAAAAAATGAATATTTTACAAACCAATAAAAAAAAGTACTAAATTAGAACTATTTTAAAAGTAAGGAGATGAAAACTGGTAAAATTTTATATTACAATCAATAGTCACTTTTACGGCAGGAAGAAATAGTAAAAGTAAATACTATTTTTTAAACTATTTCTACAAATAGAATTCTTTATAGCGTTGAAGGTAATTAGCAAGTAAAATCATACATTTGAACAAAAAAAAACTTAGTAATAGATGAAATTCAACTTCAATATCATATAAAAAATTTACTCAAAATAGACAGATTTTTTTTTAGGTGTGAAATATAAAAATTTTATTATAGAAAAAAGTCAAAATTTGAAAAACTGTCGGAGTTTCAATTACTTTATTTCTCTTGTGCTCTGCATGAATAGGAATAAATAAATAAATAAAGTTATGAAACACCAAAAAAGGGAAAAAATAAAAAGAACCTGCAGCTATTCTTCTCCAAATGCATTGAATATTTTATTGATTAAATCCTATATTTCATTGACATTTGTAATTCAATTATATACATATATATATATGTGTGTATGTATGCATGTATGTTTGTATAGACATTGTTAAAAAAAGGTAGGAAATTTAGAGAAAGAAAAACAAGTTTAGAAAATTTAAATATGAGGGTATTATTGACAATTCATCACCTTTGATATTAGTATATGACCCTACTATCACTTCAAGGGTGCTAAGTGAGATTTTGAAAAGTTTAGGGGAGCTAGGTGATATTTCATGAAACCTCAAGGGAGGTTTCTGAAATTATCCCTTGTTTTTTTTTGGTATCTCTCTTCTTTTTCATTCAAGTTCAGTTTTTTTTTAAATTTTCAATATTCTAAGCAGATAAAAAGTATTTCTCTAAACAAAAAAATTGGGATGTTCATTGTGTAATTTACAAAATTGAAGAAATAGTTGTTGAGATATGCCAATTTTTGTTATATATTTTATTAGATTGTGTTTGGTATTAGAAAAATTTAGTTAGTAATTGAATAAGTCTTAGATCCTATTTGATAATTCAATTCAACACTTAAACTTAATGGATTCAGATCTTAACATATTTAGATGCATTTGATAACAAAAAAATAAACATTTGAATTGATTAATTAACACTAAATTTCTATGGTAAAATTTGCTTCCAAAATTAAGTGATAAACTATTCACTTATCATTGAATGTGATATGCATTTAAATATATTAAGTTTAATACTTAATAATTCAATAATTTATTGGATTCAGACTTCAGATTTCAAATTTAAATTTTCAAACTTTAATTTTATCAAAACGCATCCTTATAGTTAGGATATTTGTTAACCAAAGATTGTGTTGGTTTGTTAACAACACAATCTTTGTAAATCATTTTCTGGCAATGCTAGCTAAACTATTGTTTCTTAGTTTATGCCCTAAAAATAAAAACTATACATATTCTTGACAAATTGATTTCATCTATTCTCCAATTTAAAAAATTAAGAAAATAATTTTATTCTATTTCCTTATAATTAGACAATTCAAAGTCAAATATTTATTTTTACAATCACACATTCACACGTATTCCTCAAATGAATTTTTTCTTATTATGATTGTCTTTATTTTATTTTTTAAACTATTCAATTATTAGTGTATTCATGTGAAACTTTATCACCATGAATTAGAATGGTCAAAATCAAATCACATATTAAACTTAAATGTTAAAAGGAAGTAGAAAATATAAAAATAAAAATCTAGCATAATAAATGAGGGTCTTTTTCTCTTATGAGATGGTTAAGTGACAAAAAATAAAAGGTTATGGAGAAAAGTGAGAATCAAGATATACTTTGGGAGGATAAATTGTAATTAACCAAAAAAAAAAAGGTCATATCTTTTTCTTGGTTATGTACCCAACAAACAGGGCAAAAGATATTTTCATAATAAAAAATTTACCGTGACAATTTGTTTGGATAGAGTATTATTTGGAATAATTACTGTAGCATTTTTTATGATGTAATGTATGTGAGATAAAAAGGTGTTTGAGAATATAAAAAGGTGGGTTGGGAAATGTGTTTATGATGCAAACGAAATAATATTTGGGATAATTTCACTATCCAAACACTCCTATTAATAATTTTTGGTAAAATGCCATGATTATCCCAAAATGTGATTATATTTAATTTAACTAGAAAAAGGTAAATTCGATACATTATCAAAAAATTACTATGAAATTAAAATTTGAATTTTCACAATGTCACTAGCCAACAAACAGACAAGACAATAACATGGATTTTTTGTTATGAATGAATTAAAGTAGTTAAAGCGCCACGTAGTGACAATAAATGGGGTGAACTTGGTTAAAGAAATGGAAGTGCCATCTATCATTCGGGTGAACTTGGTTAAAAATGTAATTTGATGGAAAGAAAATAGCAGAAAATTATTAGAGACTTTCCAAGATTCTAGGCCTAGTCTTCCAAGTTCCAGCCTTGAAAATTGAGAGAAGGGCTGGGGGACGGGAAGGGAAAGAAGGTAGGAAGGATGGAAGCATCTTCCTCCACTCCTGATCTCTTTTGCATTCTTTGATGATGCAAAAACAGCAGCTGGTTTAAGTGAGGTGGTTCTTACTTCTTCTCCAATCTCTTTTCCGATAGCTTAATACAGCTTATCCGTCTAGAGAATAACCCCTCCCCCTCCATTCTCCTCCCTTGTCCCTCCAAACCCTAACATTTTTTTTTTTCAAAATATCCCTCTATCTAATCTCCTTTGTTGTTGTCATCAATCTCTGTAACTATTTCTATTTCGCATCTTCCAATTCACCGCCCCACGTTAGCCCTCATTGGTTAAAGTGATCTGATTGGTTGACCTTTACGTGTATTATAGAAAAAGCCTTTTTATTTTCGTTTTCTTAACCTTGACTTTTTCTCTATTATTTTCTTTTTTTTTCGGATGAATACCGATCTGGGTTCGAGTCGCTTTGATGTTATTCGGAGACTATGATGATTTCGGATCCAAATCTGGTATATTACGCTTGCGTTGCAAAAGGCACCACAATCCTTGCTGAGTTCAATTCAAAGGATGCTGATCTTGGTTCCTTAGCGATCAAATGCCTTGAAAAAACGCCACCTTTGCATTCTGTTTTCACCCATACGGTCCGCAACAGGACCTACACATTCTTTATTGAAGATCCTTTTGCTTATTTTGCCATATTTGATGAAAATCTTGAGAACTCCGAAGGGTTGGCTTTTCTGAAGAGTGTCAAGGACGCCTTCAATGAGGTTGCTGGAAGCAGTTCTGCTAAGAAAAGATTGCAGAAGTTGTCTTCTCACTGTTTTCAGGGCGAATTTAGCCCTGTTTTTCATCATCTGTTGACCGCAGATGCAGATATGGGGGGGATCCATTCTCCTAATTCAGGGTTGAAACTTAGTCTTGGCTGGAACGGAAGCATGGATTCCTCCAGAGGAGGGCCCGTTGGGAGGCCGTTGTTGGGCACTGCCAAGAGCTTGATGAAGAAAAAGAAGAAGTTTTGGTTAGGTGATTGTATGGGTGGCTCTGCTGCAAATGCCAAAGATGCCTCTCCGGATGAGGGGGCAGCAGCTGGATTGAGCAGGGAGTTTACAGTGGTGATGCACAAGAATGGACTGCATTCTGGGGAATTGGGACAACAGAAGGCTAAGGTAGTCTGGAAAAAGCATGTTTGGGTGGTGTTGTCAATGGACTTGATCATTTGTACTATCTTGTTTGTTGTATGGTTGTGCATTTGTGGGGGTTTCAAATGCGTTGATGCGTGAAAATGGAATCTTCATTTGGAAGCAATCCTGATTATGAATTGGATGTTTTTTCATCTATATTGATGTTCCCATCTGTCTTGATTGCTTTACTACGAAGTGGACGAAGGAATTTGGGCTTCAATAAAAGCGGATCAAGGAACTTTTTAGCCGAGATGTTTGGCAGACTATTTTGGCAGAGTCAGCTGTAATTATAATCTCTGTCTCTTGTTGCTGTGGTTCAAATGTTCAAGCTCAAGCTCAAGCTGGTATTGCATTTGGATTTCTTTTTTGAAATTCATAAACTCTTTAATTTTTATCTGTCTTTAGTATGCAGATATGAATCCGTATATTCTCTTGTGCATGTTGTAATGTGTATGTGCCTATACTTGAGATACTTGCATGGTACAAATGTAGTTTTCTTTATGGACGTCTTCGCATTTGTGCATTAGATTGCGGTATGGTTGCTTGTAATGAAATCTATACATCATTTCCTGTATGGACTTGAATCAGAAAGCCACAAGTTTGTTAAATGACAATGACAAGCAAGAAGTTCTCAGATGAGAATCGACCTGTGAAAGCATGTCCTATATACCAATCAGAAACTGCTTTCACTATATCAAGAACATTTGCGTTTCAGAAGTGTGAATATTTTCTGCAATACTGTGGTATTCTATTTTTAGAACCAGGATTAGTCAGAATCAGTGTCCCTTAACTGAATCTATGCTTAACTAATATATTTGTTGAAGTTTCTTTTGAATCTGATTGACGATGCCATTGTGGTTTCAGAAATACCAAACATTTGATTTGATGGAATCAAGAGAAAAGATAGGAATAGGAGGAATCGGGTATTTGTGTTCGGATTAATGCTGATGGTGGAAAAGGGTAGGAGATGGAGGAAAGGTGCTTAACAATTAGTAGTAGTTTCTGTTCTCTTCTTTCCTTATAATCTGCTTTCCAACAATATGTATTGGCTTTCCTTTGTTTCGTTCCATATCAAATCCAAAAGTGAGTTGATAGTCATTTTTCTCAAAATTGTGTTGTGTTGATAACAAATAAACTTCGTCTTGCTCTTTCCAGACCCAATTCAGTATTTAACTTAATCTCTAAATATGACTGAAGATCAAGCTTGTTAGGCGTTTCAGAATGCAAATGTTTGGATTGTTGTAACCAAACGGGTAAATGAAAAAATGAACAAAGGTATGTCAAACAAGTCAAAAAACAGATATTCTTGACTACTACAGTAAAATTTTTAACACTGCTATAGTAAAATTTTTTAAAAATACCCTCAAACAGAGTTGGCCGGTTTCGTTTGGATTAGCTGTTTTTGGGAATATTTTTAAAAATTTTATTATAGCAGAGTTTTTAGAATATATTTTAGGATATTTTTAGAAAATATTTTGAAATATTTAAGAGTAGTAGTGTTTTTAAAATATATTTTGAAATATTTTTTAAATACTAAAAAAAATGTAGACTATTTTTTAGAGTACCTTTTAGAGTACTTTTTAAAAATTTTTATAATATTTAAAAAACTAATTTTTGAAAAATTGAAGGATCCAAACAGACATATTTTCATGGAAAAAATTAACGTCATAATATGGACTGCCAGCCCCCGAGTGTGCATAGCAACAACCTACAAGGGCATGGCATCCACATTGCTTATAAGCTACCGTAAACAAACCAGAAGGAAGAAACAAGAAAGCCTGCGGATCATATGAAGGGTATGCTATTATTTTAGATTTAATCAATTTGATAAATTACACCTAAAGGTTCACACCAAACTAGTGCTAAAGTGAAATCTCATACTTCATTTTTCACAAGAATCTTTTACAAAATTCCCAACGAATACTCTAATAGCATCAACAACAAAGAAACAGACTGAAGCAACAGACTAAGGACGGTTAACAAATACGTAGGCAGTAGATGGAAATTTAGAGAAGACTGAGACACGATAATCAAGTAGCAATAGCAAAGAATCAAGAAAGCCTACCGTGAACTGACGCCGACTCCAAACCTACAACTCGTTAAAACGAGCTACAGTCCCATCCTGCCTTTGGAACTAATATAAAAAGTACTCCTAGTTAAAATCCAACCATCGCACAGATATCTCCTACGATCCAAAATATTCCATAAAAAGACTTAAAAACTATAGAAAAACCAAATTAGAATAACTTCAAGATGAAAATGTGTTCCAGTGCCAGGACTTCTAACCCTTGGAGATTAGCTGTTGGCTGCATCAGGGATGATGTAAAATCTCACTCTGTACAAGGTGACAACACATTTCATAAAAATCATCAAAAAAGAGGCAAGAAATTAGAATGGAATTGAACAATTGCAAGAACTCAAGAGAAGCCAACCGAGACTTATGCATTGATCTTTAAAATACAGGACACTACTGTTACAAAAATCTCCATCAACATGTAAATAATCTCATTGTTATATACAAGAGAATGAATTCAAATTGATGAACAAAATTATTACAGATGTTCAATTGGTGTCAAGACTTGCCTAAAAAAGTAGCTTATTGGTAAACAAAGAAAACAGGGACAGCCATAAAACCACCTTATATTAACCGCAAGGGGTTAGCTTCTTGTTGCCAGCACCACGTGGGTTATCATCTTTCCAGTCATCCCACTGCCTTGCCTTTTCTTGAGCTGCATCATCGTCCTCCTCCTCATCTTCACCAGGTCTTAACTTGTCCTTATACCATGATGAATTGGCTTCTTCCATAAGCTTCGCATTTCTCTCCTGCCATTTGTTCATGATCTCCATCTCCTTTAGCCCAGCTTCCTCGATGCTCATGGTTGGCAGCCTATATGAAAAAAAAAAAAAAAGCGACACATTATGATTAGCATTTTATTTCCTTTGAGCTTCCTGATGTACTTTTAATACTGGGCATACAACCCTTCATTTCATTTAGTTGCACAATAAAATTTTACCTGTAATGAGGCTGGAAAACTTGTGCAGCAAGCCTTTCCCGCTCACTTGTTGGGTTTTTGGCAACAAGACTTGCTGGTCCAAATATCATTGGCTGATGTTTGTGCTCATGGGCATCTGAAACCCTCTTTCTTCCTTCGATAACATCCTGAGCAAAAGTAGCACATGTGATGGGGGCAGCTGGTTTTGTGAATCTAGCCCGAGAAGCTGCATCACGATGCCAAGCCTCAGCTTTCTTAGCGCGTTCATCAAGAATAGCTGGTGAAACTTCCCCGTCCCCTTCCTATAAAAATCACAAAGCAGGCTTCAAAATGGAGCATTCAACAAGGGAAATTTCTAAAGAACACGTTACCAACACACTGAAAAAATAAAACTGAGAAGAACAATTAACAGATAAGCCTTTTAAGGAAAACAAAAGATCCAAAGAAACAAAAGCAACCAAAGAAGAAGAAATAAGATACAGAAGTAAATAACATCTTAAGCTCCTGTAGTTTTATGAATTGCCATTTATCTGGCAATCATTTGAAGTCATCACCCCCTATTGATTGAAAGAATTAGCATATGCCAATCCACCACTCCCCCAATTAAGTCCACAAGCAACACAAAAGGACCGTGTGAGGAATCATTCTAAAAGAGGTGACGACCCTCATTACTGCCAAGTGTGCATCTGCTACTTTTTTATGACTTATGATGGGCGATTAGACACATTATACATAATGTGGAACTAATTAATGCTTTATCATAACCTAGTACAAAATTGATCTTTATCATGTCATAACTAAGGAAATGTTGCTGAGGGGGGGCACATATCCCCAGACAAGGAGGTGTTTGAGCACATTGCTGATACGAATATGATTGTTATCCAAGAAAAAGAACAATCACACACCATACTTAATAACATCAAATACCCAAGATGCAAATATGTGATCTCAGAATGAGCGTCCCCATTCAAATATGATTGAGGGACATCTCAAAATTAAAGTATTAAGACAAGAAGTGTGAAAATTATGTTCCAGATATTTCCTAAAGAAGAAAACATTAATACCTGTAACTTCTTCTCGTTAATGGCAGATAGCATTTCTTCCTCCTTCTTAAGCATTTCCAGCAGATCAAAAGCCTATTATAAAATTATAAAAGATATCAAAGAGATGGAAACTGATCATACAAAAATTCTGAGGCTACTAAACCACCAACCAACCTTGCAGAGGGCCAATGAGATGGTAGTAAGCCAAGCCTGCAAAAAGGACCTTAAGGTTTAAAATAGGGGAAGCCAAAACATTAAACAAGGAATTGAATTTACTTAAAAAATTTGCAACACAATTTAAAGACAAACTACAAAGGGGGAAGGAAAAATCCTGTTTCATCCGAGACAAAAAGTAAACACTCCACGACAAGTGTCCAGATTGAGTAAGAAAAAAAGAGAGTAGCTTACCAAAAAGTGCAAAACCAATGTTTTACAGAAAATAATTCTACACACGAAGCCTAAACTTAAGGCAACTGAAACAATATACATCCACAGTTTCCTCTTGGTATGCTAGTTGACATCATGTTGGCCATTTACTTGGTCTATTCCATCTGATGAATATTTACAAATAAAATCAAGTGGAAGGCAACATCACAGATTGCTTATTTAAGTGCAAGATGAGAAGCCATAAATCCTGCAGACTCAGAGTTCCTTCGTCACCTTCCCCCAGCCCAAGCCCCTCCTCATCCCCCAGTCCTAAAAGGAGGGAAGGAAAGAGGAAGGGTGAAACGAAAAATAGTTGGAAGACGAAAAAATCATTAAAGAAAAAAAAAAAGCTAACCTCCCTCTCCTCTTCTCCATCATCATCCAGCAAATCTTCTTCCCTTGTCTCAACAGGAGTGGATATTGCTGCTGCTCTAGTTGACCGGCCTCGCCTTTCCTTTCGCTCCTTTATTTCAAGCAGTTTTGCCTCAGCAGCTTTCTGCCGTCTAAAACGAGCAACCTGAAATTACAAATCACATTAAGTTTATAACTTTATAACTTTGTATAGGACAAAAGCATACAAAAGAAGGCCATTAAGTTACTAAATTTATATTCAGCAGTACCACTGTTCTATGGTTAAATAGCAAACCAAGAACTACCTTTTTTGCCCTAAGGTCAGCAAAAGAATTAGCACCCCCTGAAGAGGACATTTGTAACTCTTCTTCAGGCACAAGCTCCATGGCTTCACAGAACGAAATAAATTCCTGGCAAAATGGTTCAACAGGAGTTATAAAAATTTCAAAGTGGCAACCTTTTCATGGAAAAAGAACTAGCAACAATAAAGGACTACGATATTGAAGCACGTAATTTTAGCAACAAATAGTGGGGTGTTCTCTACCTTTAGCTTAGCTTGAGAAACCTTGAGAACCTGTATCCTGTCATCTTGCGCAACTTTTTCTGTCAACTCACCAAGATAGAACAGCACCTGTCCCAGTTTATCATAAGCATAACATATCTCAGGCCCAATACAGCATCCAACTAGGAATATATCATCAGAGGAGACTGAAAACCTTCAGGCTTCTCCAAATTAAAGAAGCAATACTAAAATCACAGGAACGCAATATTTGAAGCCAGGTTTAATTTCTAGTATAAGACTGCAAGAAACAATCACATAAAGGTATCAAACAAAGGAATCCCCCATACAAGTTATGCATCTGTTGAGCATGGCCAAGTTCCTTTCTCATTAGGAATTGATAACACATCATTCACTTCAACTCCTTGGTTCAAGTAGGAAATAGCTTATTGGTACAATTTACGGTTATTATAATGTAATCAGGAAGACAAAACATCGATTTGATTGCAAAATGGAGGGAGAGAAACAACGTAACTTCTTCTTCGGAATACCAGGTCACACAAAGCATTCTACTCAAGAAAATGCTTCTCAAAAAATACTAAACTGCCAGAATAAGAGATTCCATCCATGGCTTACTTCAGATGCTAAAGCTAGCGACGTGAATATTAAAAAAAAAAAGGAACTAAAAAACTCAACAGGACCAGGCAAAACCAATAGACTCACGAGAAGATACTTGAGATTAGTGGTGCTAATGTCATCCTTGGTCTCATTTGTCGAGAAGAGTCCTAATTTACTCATCATTTCCTCGCACTGCGCCAAATTTTCACAACCTTTTTTCAGGGTCTCCTGAAAATCCACAAATTAATATTAGCGTTAATAAAACAATCATATCTGCACACAGCGAAATAAAAAGAAATAAACGCAACATAAACATATGAATCCATAAAAATAATAAATGTTGAAATTATCAAAAAATTCTTACCTGATCAACCGTTGATTCGGAGGCGGCGAGATGAATCTTTCGAGCCTGCTCGAAAAGAGCTGGCAAAGACAACTCCTCCATCTTCATTTCACCCATAGGTGAACTTATTCGATTACCGAAATTCAAAACCCTACGACTCTGCTTTAGTTAGCCTAAAATTTGTATCAATCTGGAATTCGGAAGGGAGAGAAGGAGCTTCTCTTTCTTTTGAAATTCCTTATTTGTGCTTTTCTCGTGTATTCTGATACGAATAGGTTGGGACAGAGGGGAGGATCGCGGCAACTCGTACGCCTAGTGCGTAGGTTAGCGCCGGTTGAAAGAGTTATAGTGTGCAAGAGAGAGAGAGAGGCGTGGGGGTGGCCGGCACCAGGTGATGAAATAATCGATTTCTGGAAGAGCCTGGATGAGCATAGAATATGTGGACTGTCAAAGCAAATATGATTTCGAAGGCCCAAGAGTGTTGCTTTAATTGTGGGCCGTTGTTCAACTATGGGCTGGACGATAGTTCTCCAAAAATTTGTGTGCACGCTGCCGTCAGGACTCAGGAGGGCGGTCCTCCAAAATTTATCAACTTGTGTTTACTAGAAATGAGAAATTAGCTCTTTGGTGGGGTGAGAATTGAAGAACCATTGACCTTTGCACTTGGTAACCAATATGCTATGCGTTTTTCGTTGACTATTTGACTCTTAAAAGTTTCAAAATTTCAAGATATCTAGCAGTGGAGAGACATGTATGGCTTTTTTTTTGGCCCCCTTTTTTTGAGTTCGTTGCACATGTGTGGCTTGATATGTATTTAAACCAATAACGGACAAAAAAACCTTACCCACATAGTATACTTTTGATTGTTCAATTAATGCTTGTTTTAAGGACAGATTATTTGGTTAGCTCTCAACCTATTAAGTCAGTACATTTTTAATCCTCTAATTAATAACTCCTAAAAATGTATCCTTCCAACCCTTTTATACATTTGAGATGTTAAAACAAAAAGAAACTACACCATGCATAATATACAAGCAAAAATCTACTCATAACTAGCTAGATTGATAGAAATCTGAGTTTAGATTTGGAATATACTCGAAAAACACATTCTAAAAGTGTAGTTTCGTTTAAATTTGATAACACTAGAAAAGTGGTCAACTATTAGCCAACAACAATTAGTAGCTATTGACCGGCGTGTAGTAGTTGCAACGATGATTATATGTGATTGAAGGATTGAAGATAATCAAAATTACATCAATCTGAGATAGAATTCGTTAAGAGTAATGGTTAAAATTACATAAGTGCTAGAAATATACGTTTTTAGAAATAAGAGAGCAAAACGTATACGAATAATAATTGAAGAGTTGAAAGTGTTCAAAATTAATAATAATTCGAGAACTGACCAAAATTTTTGCCCTTGTTTTAGCAACAGTCACTAAATTCACAAAATTGGTATCTAAGTGACCATCGAATTTTGGACGAATTTGCCGAGATTTAGCACATGTGCTACATGCGTATAGCTCATTTCGTTACAATTAATTACAAAATTTGATGAAAAGGCTACACTAATCTTGCGAGTCGAGTAATCATTTTTTACAAAAAAAAAAAAAAAAAAAAATTGTCTTAAGTAGCAAAAAAAAGCATAATTTGCACAGTTTAATGATCGTTAGAGTTTCTTGCCCTTGTGCGATTAGTCTCCATCCAGGTCCTTCCTCTTTTCCCTTTCATAACTCACAGTTTTTTGTATGAGTGTTTCGATAAATGGACTCTGCGAAGACACTTCAAAAGCCGGCAACTTTTGAAGTGCTCCGCAGCACTTAACTACTAAACCCCCCAAACCCCCCCAAGCGATGTGGGAACTTAACCCCACAGGGTGCCCCGCTGCTAAGAGATAAAGACCCCCCAGACTCCCCGAGACAGGTTTTTCCCTTTCATAACTCACAGTTTTTTGTATGAGTGTTTCGATAAATGGACTCTGCGAAGACAGGTCCTTCCTCTTTTCACTTACTCCAATTTAAGCATTACTTTTTCAATCAAAGGAAGATGCATAGACTTTTCTCGGAGTGCTTTAAGCACGATGAATCAAGTGGTGGACAAATCCAGCAAGAGGCAAGAGCCTAATGGTTCCAATTCCAAGGGTGAATCTCTTGAAAGTTGAGACTAAACTCCCCAAGGAGGCGGTCACATGCCCTCATGAGTAGTCAAAAAATATATGGAGTACCAATCAAAAGCTATACAGTACTCAAAACTAGGGTTGCATGTAGAGCTTTCCTTCAGCAAGTCCCATCTTTACAGGTCTAAAATTTGTGAAACCAAGGAAGCAAAAGTAGGCACCGTGGCCTCTGCCTTACCATTTCTCGCTTCCTCTGATGGGACCATGATGACCTGGGTGGCATCGTCATGCTTCTGATCATCAGTAAACAGTACTGTAGGGCTGCGCTGCACTAATAGTGTCCCTCACAAAATTAACATCTCTTGGACCATCAGTCAAATTTTATCTTGTATCTCATTTTTTATGATATATGTTGAATCTATAAAATTTTGTTTTAGAATTACACGTTGTTGAAAGTAAATTACATCATATGTAAATAAAATTATGCCATGTATAAAATGCACGTGACCTTCAGAAACGATTGCAGAAGCAACCATTCCCGCTCCTGATCCATCATAATACTGGTGTGTGAACGGGCTATGATCTCCCAATCGTCTGCCTAGGCTACCATATATATATATATATATATATATGGGCATAGTCATTTGCTTGATTCATATTTTCTGCTTTTTAGCGTTTATGTAGCCTAATTCTATAATTTTTTTTTTGAAAATCACAACTCTGCGACTTTTAGTACGTATGTACTTTTCCTTTGTTCCTTTAATTGTGTCCTTTATTGGCATTTTTGGCTGACTCTGGACTAGTTCATTTCGTCCGGCGTCCACTGATGGAAGCCAGAAATGGCACTTAAAGCTAGGACTACTGCGTACTTGGAAACGCATTGCACCACCTTGTGGTCCACTTCAGTTCTAACTAAGTGTGGTGCAAATTAGGAAGGATTTTCGCAACGAATGTTGTCTGTATTCGTTAACACACCGATATTTCGCTCAATCTATGATATATATTTATATATATATATAGACATCAATAATAATTATTTTTTCTTATATTTATACATTTTTTAAAATTAATCTCTATATATATATATTAATTAATTTTATATTTTTAAAATTTTAACACTTGAAATATATTTTAATGCATGTCCACAAGACACTCGATAAACAAATCGAATTAGAAAATCACGGCCAAGTGAGTCAGGCAGGCAAATGATCGCATTCGTCCTAAGTGTGTTACTATTTGACCACATATAGATCCCGTTTGGCAAGTGAGTTTTTTGGATATTTGTCTAAAACTTTATTGTAGTTTACTGTAAAAGTTATAGAAAAAATTTTTGAAGTGCGTAAACATATGGATATTTTGAAGTATATGATTTAAAAAATTTGAAATTTTTTTTGAGATTATTATAGTTAAAGTTATTAAAAAACTTAAAACAAACAAATTTGATAAAAAAAACTAGCTTGTCAAACAAGGCGGTAGTATCATATTCGGAGAAGTAAAAGCGGCAAACCAGACTAAACAGCCGTCACGAAAAAATCGTCTCCAAGATGTGGGCGCAAAGGGGAACAAGGTACGCCCTAGCCAACCTGGAAAGATTACAATATTCTATGGAAACTACTTGAAAGAGACGTGTAATAATTTTATGGGCATCATCATTATATTATTGCCTTCTGTTAATCTAGTCTTGTAGTAATGCTGACAAAGAACCCAGGAATCTAGCTCTTCTGATCCCATTTCCTTCATGACTATAACCGAAGAAGAAGAAATCAAGAAAGCCAGGAAAACAGGGGTTCAGACATGAACGCAAAAGTGGGGCTGATGGGGCCAACCTCCGCTAAGAACCAGGAGCAAATTTCCTTCAACTTTGCTTCAGTTCGGTTACAGCAAGGCCCCTATTTTTAACCGATTCTGCAGTCTCAACACGTGTATAGTCCATGCTTATGGCGTTCTCTGACAAATTTATAATGGATAACTAACACACCTCAGAGATGGTACTATGGTATGATACTACTAGTTTTGTGCAGTAGGGTGTGGCTGCTGCTGCCGCTTCTGCTCTAGGTTTCCACCGAAATCTCGGGGCTTATATTTCCAGGGATTGAAGAGAAATTTACTCCCTTTTCCTTGTAAGACTCAAATTTACTCTTCGCTTCCTGATTGCTCAATTATTAATTTCTCTAGGCTACTATCTGTCTCTCAACAACCCTGCTGCACTCCTTTATGCTTCTCAAATGTTCTGTTAGGTACATGTATTTCAGTGTTCGTGTTACTATGTTTGACAATCTTACGTTCATGTTTAGCTTGCAGTTGGAAATTTTGTTTGTATGACTCTATCGTTGATTTGTTTTGGTATTTGGTTTTGTGTATCTTCAAGCTCATTCTTGGCTATTCTTGCGGTTGGAAATTCTTTGACAAAATCAATTGTGTACGAATGCCTAATTTTGGCAAATAGATTCCAGCTTACACTCAATTCTTGGCTTTCAGAGAAGAGGCAAAATCATACTGTTGAGTAATGGACGGAAAAGGGATATCAAGATCCATTATGGTTTTTTCTGAAGAGAAAAATGAGAACTTGTATCCTAAGTTTTTTGGCGTCTCCTGTGCGTTTTTTGCCCTTAGAATCTTGTCGGAGCCTAAATTGTCCTCTGAACAATGGTCAGACATTAAAAATGGGATGCTTCAAGGAAGTGCTTACCTTCTGGGATTGTTTGTTTGGAGGGCCCAGAAGGACGAAGCCGGGAATGATAAATCAGAGCTTCGCCAGAAGCTTGAGAATGCACAGGGAGAGATTGAAGAGTTGAAAAATAGAAGACGTGAGGACGCAAAGGCAAATGAGAAAGTAGTAGGCATCTTTGCTGCACAGGAACAAGGCTGGTTCAATGAGAGGAAGAAGCTTAGACAACAAATTGGGGGTCTTATGAACGAATTAAGAATTTCTGAAACTAATAAGGATAAAGCTCTTTCTGATTTGAAGGGAAAGCTGCAGGACAATGAACTGCTATTGAAGTCTAAGGATAAGATTCTCAAGGAAGAAGAGCAGAAGAGGCAGGATCTTGAAGAAAAACTGAAGAATGCTGAGAGTACTATAGCAGAATTCAGAGAAGCTGCAAAGCAGGAAAATCAACGGCACTCCAATGAGATTTCAAAACACAAGACTGCCTGCATTGAGCTTGTCTCAAACCAGAGACAGCTTGAAGCAGAGATGGGTCGGGCTCTTAGGCAAATTGAATCATTGAAACAGGACCGTGATATAATTCTGGAGCAAAAGGAGCAGTCACTGTTGATGACTCAAAAGCTATCCCTCGAGCTTGTCAAAATGCGAAGGGATATGGAACAGAAAGACCAAATTCTGTCCGCCATGCTAAGAAAATCTAAATTGGATACAACAGAGAAACAAATGCTTTTAGAGGAAGTAACATTGTCAAAGGCAAAAAGAAAGCAGGCTGAGCTAAAAACAGAGAGGTTAAAGACAGATTCTGAGCCTAGGCGTGACAGGTATTCCCTAAGAAGTATGCTTTCTAAACATGCAAATACAAAGGCAGATGCTGTTTCTGGAAGAAAAGGGGTTCATTCAAATGCAATGATGGCATCAAACATGGAAAGGCCTACAACACACCAAATGAATTATCTTGTTGAGTATGAGCAACCTGGATTCAGGGAAGGAATAGAAGCTTTTTCACCTCTGTCGGATCGCTACTTATCTGAGGGAATTCAAGATACAAGTAAGACTTAAGTTCTTGATGTGCTTTTCTATACTTTGAGTAATACACTTACACATAGACTAGAAAAGAAAATTGTTTACTCCTGCAAATATATGATTATCATCTTTCCAGTTCATTTTACCCGACTATGATTTATATGATTTCAGCTGACTTTCACCAGTTGGAGGGTTGGGTTCGATCTCAAGCTGAGAAGTATAGAACTGCTATTGATCAGAGGCATCAACTTGAGATAGATGCTTTTGCAGAACAACTTAGAGTCAAAGATGAGAAGTTAGAAGCTTTTCGCTGGCGTTTATTGAGTATGGAACTTGAGTCAAAGAGGCTGCAATCCATTATTGAGGGGCTTGATAATGACTTATCACAACTCAAACAAGCTAATATGAAGTTGGAAGTTGTACTGTTGAACCGAGAAGCAGAATTACAATCCCTGAAGGAGAAGTTGGCATTGCGGATGGAAAATCATCCTAACAGCCAAAGGATCTCCTCAAATGCTTATCCGCATGATCTTACATTAGCCTATGATACCATTTGGTCAAAAGTGAAGATAGTAAAGAGAAGACCAGGGGAGGATGTGCAGGAGTCAAAGACAACCGCAGAGAGAAATTACCAACCGGCAGAAGAAGAGAAGCAAGAGAAATCTTCTGCTAATTACCCGAGCAAAGATATAGTTTTGACACTCCAACCTCCACAAGTGGAACTTGAAGAAGAGTTAGGTGATGCAATTGATCAAGATTCCATTCAAGAGCAATCTTCTAGTTCACAAGGTGCTGAAAAAGCTGAAGCATCGCAATCAGCAGTCAAGTGCTTAACAAACAAGATTAATTCTTCATGGAAAATGGATCTTCATGCTCTTGGAGTCTCATACAAGATCAGAAGGCTGAAGCAGCAGTTGCTCATGCTTGAGAGATTGACTGGAAAGCGAGAGTGTCATGAAAGCAGTGATAGCAGTAACAATGGACAAATTAACAAAAATGTTTTTTGTGCTCTAATGTCCTTGCTCAACAAACAGGTTGGTCGGTACCAATCCCTCCAGGGGAAGACTGATGATCTATGCCAGCGAATGGTACATTTCTATTTCATTATGCTAATTTTACAGTTTAGGGGTTAATTTTCTTCATCAAATGCAAGGACCAAAACCATTTCACTATCTTGTAAGGTCTTTATCTTGTAAATTCACAAAATATTGGGCTTTCTCTGGATAACAATTAGATGGAGGCCCTTTGATGATGTATAGAAAAAGTGATCACAGTTGGACGCTTGACACCATAGTTCTACTTATCATTTTCGCATGTGTTGTGCAGCATGAAAACAGCTTATATGTGAGAGGTGGAGATCTGAATACTGCAAAAACAAGGGAGGAAATTCGATTGCTCGAGCAACATCTTGAAGAGACATTTCACCTCCAGAGATATATGGTTGCTACAGGACAGAAGTTGATGGAATTACAAGCCAAGATTGCTTCTGGATTTCTTAGTGCAGTTGAAGAGTTCGAGACACCTGCTAGCTTTGACATGAAGAGGTTTGCTGATAATATCAAAACACTCTTCCGAGAAGTCCAAAGAGGTCTTGAAATTAGGATATCTCGAATTATTGGAGATCTAGAAGGCACTCTTGCTTGTGATGGTATCATACACTTTAAAAAGTAGTGAAGGAGAGTTTTAGGAAAGTTCTTAAAGTTTTTTCTTACTTCTTTCTTTTTTAGTGTCTTTTTCCGAATTTAGCACTGCTGAGCAAATCTGTACAGAAATCACTACGTGAAATACAAATTTCTTGGTATTGTATCTCCTCTACCCCATTGAGCCAAATTATAAGTTGAACCCAGCTAGCAACTCTATGAGAAAGCCACTGAAAAGCAAGTACCAACTACTAAACTCTTGCAGTTAGTGATTGAGAATTTCACACTTTGCATGCTGGTTGCCTCAATATATTTCTCATCAGGAGCAGCATTTGCAGAATCTTGGGAAGTGTTTACAGCCATTTTTGTCTGATTCTGTAATCTTATTTGGTTAACAACATTGGTGCATGTAAATTTGTTGAGGCATGGTCTTTTCTGCTTTCACTTTGCTGACTGTTATTTTTTCAGGCCTGGTCTTCCTTTCTACCAACCCATGGAAGAAAGTTCTGTTGCAGTGAAAGGGAGAAGCAACCTTCCATGTAATACGGACAACTGCAGGTGACGACATTGTCTCCATGGTAGTGAAGTTGAACAAATTCACTCCTGTTACATACTTCCTTTCAATCTTTAGTGCAAGATCAGGCTGGTCATGTCTGCTGATTATATTGATTTGGATATGAAGCAACCGTACGATATAATCTGAATCAGGTACTTAGTCAAATGATTTTTTATTTTTTTTTGGGGTGGAAATTTTACTGCTAAAAGTCATGGCACAAAGAGTCATGGTCAGCAAGAGGATCTCCTCCTTTGGTAGTGCTTAATAATAAAAGGAGAGGTATGGAGATGAGATGCAAGATTGATTGTGTGATTGCATTAACTGGGATGGGATCATTCATTCTTGGGACTTACATCACATGCTGGTGGATCGTGTTTCCTTTTTTCTCGGGGTATGTCTGGAGTCTTAGTGGATTCAAAGTGTTATCAAGCATGGAGCTAGGCTCCAGCGAGTTGAAAATTCAACAAGGCACTGGAGTGATACACTGTAGTTTGTTATTGTTGTTAAACCATGTAGGGTGGCAATGATTAGGGAGGATGAGGAATGGTTGCTGTCCAATGCATAAATGAAAGCCAGTGGGCAGCTTCATCTGAGGGCTCAAAGCAAACAGTAGTTTGATTCTGATGGATGGAAAAACAACAAAAACTCTTGTCATGTTTCTTCTGTCACTTTGAATGGATATCTGAGCTCTTGTCATGTTCCCTCTTCAAAATAGAGACTTGTATTAACGTGATTGTAGCACTTCCACTTTCAATCCCTCTGCCCCGTCAGATTGAATTAATAACACATACTCCGCAGCGGAATCGGTGGTAAATTTGTCGAGGCATGCAGTTTAATTTGTTACTACTATTGTATAATCGCAACAATACAAAGAGGAATTATCGTTGTACCAAAAACATCATAAATTGTGTTGTCGTAGGAATTGGTTTATCAGCGATCTCTGGGTCCTGTCTTTGGACCGAGTCCTCCCCGCAGTTGGGTTTGATGAAGCTGCCTTTTTTTTTTTTTTTCTTCAAATTTTTGGAATAAAGCAATCAGCAGCGTCAACTCACGCATAGGCACGGGTAGTTGTAAATGATGCAAATCACAAGCCTTCACACATCCCATTCATGCAAAAGAAGCCAGAAATCAATCAATGCCGGCCAAATTGTCATACGTTGGCAACCCTCGTTTGGATGTCTCAAGTAACAAACAATAATAGTCTACTTCGTGTTGTCTTTTTTTTTTTTTTTTTTGTCAACACAGGGGTATCTGGATCAATTTTTGCGGGGTCCCGACTAATCCCCACTACCTATGTTTTCAGAACCGGACCGGATAGCGACTCGGCCGAGGTCAGGGGTCAGGGGTCAATGGGTTCGACCGGGAGTCGATAGGGGTCGAACCGGATGACGTCATAAATAAAAATTATTTAAAAATTAAAATATTATATATATAATATCTAATAATATATTGATATTAATAAAGGTATATTCATATATATTTGATGTTTCAAATATATTTAACAAAAAAATACAAAGAAATTAGAACAATCAAGTAGCAATTTATATTATTTAATAAATATTAACAAGTTTAGAATTAAAATTATGAATTTAATTGAAAAATAACATCAAATTTTAGGACAATATTTATAAAGTATCAAATATTTGAGGTATATCAATAAGTTTTAACAATTTAGGGGGCCAAAACATAATATTAAAACGTTTGAATTTTTTTTTAAAAAATTAGTGTTGAACCGGAAAAACCGGTTTTTTCCCGGTCAAACCGGGTCAAACCCGGTCAAACCCGATTTTTGACCGGCTTTGATCGGGTCTTAAATTTCCGGTTTTTTAATGTGACTCGGACCGGCTACCTGACCGGTTCCCGGTTCGACCGCCGATCCGGCCCGAGTTTGAAAACAGAGCCCACTACTGTCCGGGAGAGGAGGCCCCATTCCACACCAAACAAGTCAACAACGGGCTCGAACCCCGTCCGAGCAACCCGCGGGGGCTCGCATTGTCTCTTCATCTATATATGTTTTGGTCTCGTATTGTCTCTTCATCTATATATGTTTTGGTCGTAAAATTCCTTATTATACTCTCTCTCGTAGACTAGTAGTACTAGTAGTAGTCTGTGACCGTTGCATTGCTACAGCGGAGTGTGGCTGCTGACTAATTCAAGATCGTCTGTTGTTGTGCCTTCTGTATGATAGTTTGGTTTGTCAATTCACCCAGCTCCTCTTGCATTCAGTCAATTTGGCTTTTAATTGGAAACTTTTCCGTCCGTTTCTTTCATTGAAAATAAATAACTCGTGAATAAGAAGCGCCTGGAGCGTTTTAGACCTGCCCGCTTCCCAGCTAAATCTCTCTCTCTCTCTCTGTCTCTCCCTCGCATTCCACATTTCAGTTTTCAGGCACCCTCTCCCCCTCCCCCCCAATCTGAATGCATAAGAAGGTCAAGAAATTTAGAGAGACGATCGAGGAGGAATCCAGTAAAACATTTGCTGCAGATAGATGATCAGTTTGGATTTGGAGACCGAAAATGAAGCAGCAAGTCCAACCAGTACTCCAAAGCTTTCCTTGTATAAACTCCCAAGCAAGCAAAGACAGCCGCCACCAGTGATGTTCACTCCACCCGTCACTACTTCAGCAGCATCAATTCCATTCCAATGGGAGGAGGTGCCGGGGAAGCTCAGACCCGATTTCAGACCCACGTCTTCCCCGGCCGCCGCCGTTAAAGACAAGAATTCTTCTGTAGCCAGATGTCTAGACCTCCCGCCCCGGCTGTTGAATAACAAGAATAATACTAGTACTGCTCCTCACAATATCATCCATCATCCTCCTAGTAAACAACTATTTCCAGTCACGAACGATTCTTCTCCCACGACGGTGCTCGACGGGCCTTATCCTCATGGCGCTGGCGGCCCATCCTTCTCTCGCAGCTCCGCATTTTCTTTGCCTAAAACTAGAGGGTCTTTCAGGAGCCTGGAGGATGAAATTTTTAGAGATGTCAATAAGTACCGACAACATCGTCATGATGCCATTGATGAAGTTGTTGGGAAAAGAAAGGTGATCAATGATAAGGAGAGATTCGCTTCTTGGAAATGGGGGAGCTACAAGGAGAACAACGCTACTACCAATGATGGCAGTTTCTCCTTCTCTGCTGGATATGATCACAGTTTTGGTTGTACTTCTTTCGCTTCAACAAGTCGTGGGACAATCAAGAGGAGAAGCAGCTTCTCGAGTTTCTCTCATGCCAGCTCCAACCTCATCGTAAGTGTCTGTCAACCCTCTTCAACATATTATATACAATCCATTTTAGTTTCCTTGTGATCAACTGTTAACTTCCCTGCTAGTTGATCTTTGATCTACATTTGGAAACTAAAAATTCTTGCTTCTGATTTTCTACTTTATTTTTGCTAATTTACATGAATCCCTCCTGTTTAATATACTGGGACATCGTCTAGAAGTATAACGTTGTGTGTATTTTTACGTCTAGCTAATTGTTAATTAAAGAAAACAATATTGGATCTAATTCAGTAGAATACCGCTGTAGGCCGGCATTTATGGGAGCTTCAAGCAAGTGCTCCCGTGGAGACGAAGACAAGGACAAAAGAAGGATCAAACAGTCGGCTGAAATCAAATGGGAATCTCCGGCAGCTGGCTTCAGTACTCTGTCCAAAGAGAAGGAAATGGAATATGCAACCTGCCTGTGCCGTTTGGGGTTCCTTAACTTCACCTACTATATCTCTACCGAAAGGCCACCATTAATTTCACGTCCTCATCGGATTTCTTGATCCTGATTATGGGGAAAAACTAAAAATTCATATTTTTGTTCCCATGTAGCAGGATTTTTGTATCTAGTACAATCAAACAAAATCGCATATCAAAATTGCTGACACTATCATGGATGGATGCTGCCCACCCTCCATATGTATGTATATTAATCCTCTCCATACCTGACTCAAAAATGTACTTTTGTCCTTTTATTAGTCTACTACGACAGTATGACTTGCACATGAACTTCTTGAGAGTTCCATGAAATGTATCCATATCCTATTCTCTGACGTGTTTAACCGGATGGCACGATTTGAACAGCGCAAAGAAAGAAGAAGAAGAAACCAATGGAAATTTTCTTCTCTCCAAGCTAATTTAAGACTAAGCCCAATCCAATCCTACCTCAAGTACTTGCTCAATCTAAGAGTAAGCCCAAACTAACTTGGACCGTATACGTGTCTATTGGACCGTATACTAACTTAAATCATTGCATATCTTGGGCCGTATACGTGTCTATTGGCTATATTCATGCACGTGTACAAACTACGAACAAGATGAGGAATTAACCAGAAAAATCTAATCTCTCTTCATGCACAAACATGATATATATTCGAGTACATATATGGCTGGATATATGAATTGTTCACTGAACCTGAACCTCTACATTCATCCAGTACTAGCATTTTAATTTCTAGATCGATGTCCTGTTTGTGCATCAGGAGATCAATGATGGTATTTTTTTTCTTTGGTAAGAAACGATGGTTTTACTTACTGGACCTTGTGCAGTTCATATCCATGTCAAGAGGAGGAACAAGGAATTCAACCAGAATGTCCCAAGCAAGCAAGCAAGCAATATGAATAAAAAGCTAATTCGGAATATTCAATTCAAAAGACAAACTGAACCAAATCCTACATTCGAAAATCTAAAGGGAAACTAAGATCCAAAATCTAAAAGATAAATCCTACGTTCTGAAATCTAAAGGAAACTAAAAATCACGGGTAGAGTCAAGCCATGGCAGCAGCAGCCATTGCCCTTCTTTTCTTGTAATTGGCTTTGAAGCATGCTTGTCTGAGTTTCTTGGTTCTTTCAGTCAGTTCCATCTCGGGAAGCACCTTTAACATTCTTTTGTGCTCTTCCAGCATTTCAATCTCACTTGTCAATCCCAACTCCTACAAGAATTCAAAAGGTTACTGCAACATTCTTTAAAACTTCAGTAATTCCCGTTTGAATACTTAACCATACTACAGTTTCCATACTGTTTTCTGGGTTGTTTTATTAGAAGGTGAGGAGGAGGAATTAACGAGAGGAACTTTTATTCCGTCCTCTGTTTTTCTTTAAAAAAAAATAAATAAATTCCTTTATCCATTCAGTGTTCAGGATTCAGTACTAATCAGGATGGAGTACTGCATGCAGCTAGCCTGGATGGTACCTTAGCACTGTCAATCAACGACTTCAAGCTCTTGATTTTCCTGTGTGGCCAGCGCCTGATGTTGAGTTCCCTGCATCGCTTCTTCAGGACAGTGAGGCCAACCTTCAATTCCTTAGCTGCTTTTGTAATTGGAACATCAAAGTACTTTTGAATCTCATCCACCTCAAGCGCCGATGACTTGTACCTCCCACTTACCAACCCGTCGTCCGAAACCAAGGGCTCTGACGATCTCGAGCACACCGCATTTCCTCCAGATGCTTCGGCAAAAACAGTCTCACCATTCTCGAGCAGCGCTTGATCACGTATCTCTCCAGCTGCATTCAGCGGTTTAGCATCGACAACATTGACGTCTCCCTCAAAAAATGGTTCTTTGACGTCTGGCGGTGAGTGCCACCCAAAATCCCCACAAATGTCTTCAAAATCCTTGAATTCCATTTCCAAGCATGGAATGCTATTATTCTTCCATTTCCAAGCATGGAATGGCTCTTTACAGTTACATATGCCCGATGGACATTGGCCCAGGCTTTCAGGAAACGCAAGGTATGACTGTTCCCATGCTCTGCAAGAAAGCAAGAAATGCATATATATTAAGAAGATCGTGAAAAATTACGTCAACAAGTAAAATAGCTAGACACATCGATCAAAATAGCTAGTAGATTCATAATTTTTGTGACATCCATCCTCAGTCTTACGTACCCTGAAGGTGGTTGTTCTTCGAAATATAAAGATCCATCAGATGCAAGGAGGTTCTCCAGCTGGTATACCACGCTGAGGGCTGGGGGATTCATTCTGCGCAAGGGAATGCTAGCAGGGCTGGGGGAAAAGCTGAAGAAGTAGCTAACATGGTACGTATAAATTGTGGTGGAGAAAAATTGGAGTTCGTGCAGATGATCATGGGAGTTACAGGAGGGATATTATGGAATCAACTTAAATAAGGCATTAATGGTGAACAATTACCAATTACCAATTACAGAAGGGGCTGCATCATGCAATGTCTCTTTAATGCTTTATAATGTTAAACACGAATGAACATACATGCCAAACTCCCAAGTACATTCCAAAAAGTGCATGTACATTATTACTACTAGTCTACTACTACATTTTAATTTAAAAAAAAAAATAGATTTTTGACTCTGTTCAACTCTAAATTTTACAAGCCAAAAAAAAAAAAGAAGAAAAAAAGACGGCTCAGATGTCTAACTATGCATTCCAGCCGATCAGTAGACAGTTGGTGATCGAGAAGATAAAAAGATGATTAGAATTAGTGAAATAAATTATTTTATCTGAAATCATCTCAATCCAAATAAATCCAGTATGTTCTTTGCATTTTTTGAATAAGATTAATGGTTTTTTTTATCCATAAATATCTTTGAATTTAAAAACAAAAAAAAAAGCATCAATATGCATGTCTTTGCATGGTCAAAAGTCCAACCCGTGGTCCGTCTAAATTAAAGCGACCATGTCTATGTAAATGTTTTCCCTTTAAAATATTCAATTCGAAAAGAATTTCCAGATTGTCAACAGTAAAACCAGGGGGAAAAAAAATAGAGAAGAAGATAGAATTGGTTAAAGCTGAGAATAGATGGATGAGTGGCTTATCATGCATATTAACCTTACCTGATGTATGAGATTAATGCATGAATTCCAAAATTGTTGGATCATTTAAGGAGTAGGTTACACAACAATTAACGAGGCGGATGGAGTTAAATGAGGAGGGAAATCGTGCTTATCCAGTACAACCTCCCTTCGAAATATGCATTAATTGATTAATTCCTCTAATCTGAGCCGTCATTTCTTGAAAATTGGCCATAACACACTGCTAACTAATTATACTACCCACGTCTAATCTCGCAGTTAATAAGCATCGAAGTCCGGGTATCGGAATGCGGCGGCCGCTATCTGAAACCGTTGAAGGTTTTTTTCCACCCACACATCCACACTGTACGGTGTACGCTACCCTCTTCAGTCTTCAGAGCCAGGGCGGATTGCTAAATTTTGGGGAATTTTTTTTTTTTAAAATTTTAAGTGAATATTCATTTTATATATTTTTAATTACCATTTAATCTCATATACTACACTAATTTTTTCAAAAAATTGTAATTCAAAAGGACTCTAATTTGGATAAATCACGCTTTGTTTGTGTCTCTCAATTTCTTACACTTCGAGAGATTTACACACCGTTCCTAAGTTCTTATAAAAGCCTTAAATGTGAATTGGGAATTTCAGATTTTGTTTCCCGATGACTCACGAGCTTCAACTAGATGATTAAATTGATGTTTAAGATTTTGTTTCCTTTGAATAATTTTATACGTAATTAAATTTGGTTTGGTTACTAAGATCGAGATTTCAATAATTAGAGATCTTAAAAATTCAAATTTTTCTCTTTCACTTCTTATCATTTTAAATCTCGCCTTCTCCTATTAAAAAAAAAAGTTTTTTCTAGGGGATGGAAGTTATCAGTGAACAAGAGAAAAAGCGAAGAAGCCCACTTTATAGCGTTGCTCGGAAAATGCTACAATAAAGCCAAGCAAAGCTAAAACGAGCGCCATAAACCCAATACCCGACTGGCTGTTACCGAGAGGGGAGAAGCCCAAATATATGGTCGTAGACTTTGAGTAAGTCCTTCTGCGGCCCAAAATCCAGAGTAGATGTGTTTTAGAGTCCATCCGGTAGACTTGGTAATTGGGCTCTGGGCCAGATGGAGAGCATCAAGCAGCAAGCAATAGTAGATCAAAATCAATGGGTGCGGTGTGAATTGAATTCCAGTAGTAGCCGTTCTAGGATAAGAGGGGTGGGACCCTTCACTTCCATCACCACCATTTGCGGCACTGATTGAATTAAATTACGAGTTAGTTAGCATTGTATGAGGACTGTCTCCCCAATCACGGTAGGAGTTTGGATTTTGCGAGTCGAGTCCCACAATTTGGAAGCAGATCGGTGAAATAATCAGACTGCGCTTGACTTGCTCGAATTGTTTGTGGGTCCTCTCCATGTTTCTATTATTACTGTTTCTGATAGATTCTTATTAAGAGGGAGAGGAGGGAGTTAGTAATAGGAAGCAAGAAAAACTCTTCTGTCTTGTGCTAGTTGTGATTATCTCATTCATACAAACTACTACACTTGATTGTTTGACTAAAAGCTCTCACTGCTGATACAAATTAGTATCATCATTTTGACGTAATATAGGTATCAAGTATCAAAGCAGAGCCGCCCCCCGTGGGGTGGGGTGGGGGGGGGGGGTTAGCTTGACGGATGCTAAACCCCAATATGACAGTGGGTCAAACTGTCAAAAGTCTTTCTTTCTTTCTTTCTTTATGTTATGGGGACTTCAATTTAATCAGTAGGTTAGCTTAAAATGACATTTAGCTATTCTGAATTACTACTAACTACAAAACCCACTGGTTTTTCTTTCTTTATTTGATGGCTTAGATGAATTTTTACTACTAGTATTATCACATTTGTAGCAGCAATTTCGTGCAGTGGTTACCAGCTTAGAAGTGTCAAAATGGGTGGTTCAAACGGATCATAGTTGAGTAATAATGGATATAATTTTATTAATCCATTTATACAAATTTAATAAATGGGTCAAAATAAACCAACTCATTTATATCCATTTAAAAAATGCGTGTGTGTATGAGTACATCCAATTACAAATCTATGACTCAACCAATGGCCCTTTTTGCTGTTGGCCACCACTAAAGATTTTAAGTTTTGGTGGGGTGGGAGGTCAAGAGTTTAAATTTTGCCTCTCATCATCATTGTGCCACTATATGTGGCTTCTTCAAAATGCATACAATTGCATAGTGCACTCATCTA